CGTTTTGCTGTACTGAAGGGTAGAGTTTAGAATCTCGGAGAAGGCATGGATGTTCGTAGGCATATAGTGTGGGGGTTACTCAAAATATGCGGCGAGCCGCAAGTTTCCTCCAAAGGTTGGTAGTACGGGCAGAGGGGTGGGGGACTTTCGGACCGCATCCGAGGGGTTCTCTTCGTAATTCCTTCTGGGTCGAAATCTTAGCAGTTAGTAAGGCCCAACAAAACCTAATATGACTTCTTGGAGGTAAAGGTGCCGGCCTTGCTTCGACCTGTACAGGTACATTTTTTCTCATATATCACGAGCGCATGGCATCTTGTCCCGCAAAAGACGAATTTCATATTCTTCACTCTCTTGACGTCATCGTTAGTTACTCAAGTTAATTTATGGTCCTCTGTTATTATAATTATCTATTTGTCTGTTATTGTTGATGCTTATGCTCACTTGTCTGGCGTTGTCAGCCCAAACCCATGAAATTCCTCGCGGCAAGGAGTGCAAGATTACGTCTGTCCTTGGCAACAGCCTTGAGTACCTAACAATTGATAGTGCGATTTGGCTCAGTTGCGCTCACAATCTTGATGGAGAGCACTCCGTGGGGGGAGCGTAATGGCAGACCGCACATTGAGTTGAATAGTGTTAAGCGAATTTCGCTTACTGCGCATGCTTGATGGTGTACCTTTGGCGCGGGGAGAAATATTGGCGACTAAGCAACCCTATGCTAGCTTATGCGTGATCTCCATGGCTGTTGATTGTGTTCGAGTGATGTTTACAACTACAATCTTGTGGAACTTTGTTTATTAGTTATTTTAACGACCATACCGATAGCACTTGCTTATTTTTCTAATATATATTTCATTTTAATTTGTCAATAAGAATGCGTTTAATATTTGTTAACATATGCTGTGCGTAATAATTCGTTATTTAGATGTAATTTGTTTACATGTTATAATTCAGTAATGTAAACTGGAGTTTGTAATGTAAACTCGCTTAGTTTGTAATGTAAACTCGCTTAGTTTGTTAGCGTATATTCGCGCTTTTATTTTCTCATTTATTCTATATTCTTCAGTGTTTCTTTATGTATGTACGAATGGAACGTATGGTAAATCAAGAATTGTTTTTGCTTAAAAGTGTAATGAATAAATTTTGAACTAATATATCTTAAATTTCAGTCTTTTTCTGGACGAAAATTTGTACAGTTCCAAAGGAATGTGCAGAATTTCATAAGTATTACATCTTACAATTTTGAATGCAAACACTGCTTCACATTATATTGTAATAATGATTTAGATCTTATCACTCTCGTATGGCCTGTATCAATTGTTTCATCGGATTATTTATCAATAATTCCTGGTAGAATTAGAAATATATATATTAGAAAAGGTTTTTACCTGTATCATCTCCAAAGGAACAGAAATTTAATTAAAGCGATGAATTATTGGAATGAATTTTAGTCAGTATTTGAAGTTATTTAGAATTCTACTGCAGTGGAAAATATGTTATCTAGATTTCTGTTGCATTAAAAATTATTTAAAAGCTGGGTAGAAATATTTTGAAATGTAAAAATTTTAAGTAACAGAATTAAAATTATTTAAAAGGTAGCTATTGTCATTGATCATAGATTAATTGACTTGTCAAGGGAAACAAACTAAGACTTCAGTACATAAACAATATATTTTTTATTTTGGGGGGTGAACATTGTTATTAATGGTGATATAATCAAATAAATAACAAAGAATCTGCAAGTGAAACGTATTTTACCATTTCTTTGAATTTAGGTATTTTTTCAAATATTCCAAGCATTTAAAAGAAATATATTTTACGTATTATGTAACTGTGGATGTATTTCTATTTCCTGAAGTTCTGAATGTCTGCAGAAACACATATTTTGATCTATGATTTAGATGGCTTAGAAAGTTAAGAAATAAATTTTTTCTTAATATTTTGGAATTATCAACAAATGATTTTATATTAATTAGAAATTGATACATTTGTAATTCCCCCCAAAAAATTCTTTAAGACTGGCAAATACTTACAGAAATTTTAGCTGTAATTAAATATGATTCCCCAACCCAAGTACGTGTGATGAGTACGTTCCGTTAGACTTTGTGATTATTTTGTGACAACTATACTTGTTGCCAAAATTTGGTCTTTATGCATATATATAATGTATACAACATGCATGCAAAGTTATGATGTGTGTGATTATGGCAAAGCCTCGAGGGCTATCTGCCTAAGGGAAGTGATGCCTTCATGGAGGACTTTCTAAGGAAAAACTGGCTCGTATACACATTACACACGGGGAAAACCACAAAAACGCCCATGCAGCCAGCCCATTCGCGAGATTCGAATCTTGCGACCGAACTACCAGTGTTCAGGGACTTTACCGCTTGGCCGCTGGTGGGCCTGTGCAAAGTTATGATAGCTGTTAATTTATCATAATTGACCAAACATTACGAATACTGTTTCTCTTTCAAGGATACGTACTTTCAGTTGTTTTCATAACAACTTCTGTATTTATTTAGAAAAAATTCTGCTGATAAAATACTACACACAGAAAATATTTTTAAAATGCTGTTTAAGAATGCTTGTTGATTTTTCAGAGACACAGGTAACAATTTAACTGGTTATAAACTTAACAGAGCACAGATGTTGAACAGAAAAAAGAATGCCATTAGAAATGCTTCAAATGCCAAATTAAAATATTTGATCATAAAACAAAATGTAATTACAGTAAACTGATTTTTGAACTTGAAGACTGATTATCAAATGCAAGTTAATGTTTTAATAAAAGAATTTCATGAAAACAATCTAATTTTGAAGTACAATGAAAATAGTAGATTTTACTTTAACAAAATAGCTTAGTACGAGGATTTTGCATGTATTCTTTATGTTTATTTATGGGAAATTCACAGAATGTAACATATATTATGAATATAAAGGTAATTTTTTTTTATTTTAAACTATCGCTAATTAAATATAAAATATTTACAAAAGTTTGAATATTTGGTGTAAAATTCGATTTTTCATTATTAAGATTAAAAGCCCTTTCCACTGATTACTTTTCTTGATTTAATGAATCTCCTTTTGGTCTTTCTTACACCTTATAAGAGTTTCACCCACTTTGGCAATATATACTGTGTGAGAATTCTGGAAAACTTAAGCGACTTCTCGTTATGTTTTGGAAATTACAACAGAGGTTTGGAATAGGTGTAAAAAACCCTTTTATAAACTCAGACAAATTAACAGAGTGCACAGCTTATTCATACATAATCAGCCAGCATTTATGGCGTAAATCAAAAGTAGCAAAATGAATTTAACTAAGTAAATTTTAGTTAGCCCAAAGGCTACACAGACAGAAAATGCACAAATTGTCTCGGATCTAATATTGGCATGATAAGCTAATGGCGAGAAAAATGCAGTGCTGCAGATAACCTGCTCCCAAGAGTACCCAACTAGTAATGTGGTCTTCAAGTAGATTCTTCGTTCTGATTCTACCACGTAAAACCTCTTCCTTTAAATATTACTGCTTTCTATCTCATTCGAATACACTCAAAATTAGAATTCTGGCAGAAAAATTGAAAGCGAGGAAAAAAAAGCTAATTAACATAAAATAACTGGTTAATAAAAATAAATGAATACTCTACAACCTCAATTCACCACTTTAATTTAGCCATTTTCATTTTCATGTAGCCTGTATGTCAAAATATACATTTGGTTTGGTGATAATAAACTTAATTCTTTCATTTTTTACCTGATTACATAACATCACATGCAACAGCTGTAAATATGAAAAACATATGCATATATCCAGCAGGTATGTTAATTTCTTTTGAATATATGGTGTCTGTCATCTACAAAAGCAAACTGTAAACTTAAAATATAAGATGTGAACACAGGTCTCCTGTTGGATAATATAAGGAAGTCACTTTGTCTGGTATTATTATTTGTAGGACCTAAGGTCCTACAAATAATAATTAAAACCAAATATTGTGTGGAGAGTAAAAAGCATAACGCAGAACCTTTGTGAAAAATTAACATGTATATCACTTTGTCCTAGTGTTATAGTCAGAATCCATTCTGTATAATAATATATGCATTTGACATTATTAGGTATTGCTAATTAAATTAAAATTTTAATACTTCAATGAAATATCGAGAAAATGAGAAAAATTATGAATACTACTTAATGTATGATATGAATTTTTTTAAAGTGAGCTAATTAATAAACAAAGACCAAAATATATAATTCCATATTCCTTATGCTGAAGTCTACTTCATGCTATTTAAACATTGTAGTCTTCACTTTGCAAAATCCATGAGCAACATTTTAATAATACTATAGGAAAATTTCATATAATGGTCAGTAGCTGAATTGAATGAAATGAGTATTTTAAATTTATAATTAAACATATTTTAAATTCACTAGAAATTTAGGGACATATAATGTTTAAATATTTAAAGTTTCGGAGGAAACTATTTAAAATGTCTTCTTTTTTGGGGACGGGTTGCTTTAAACTGCTTATGGGTTACAGATTTCAGCCATATAATCTCATAAATAGCATTTAAAGATTATTTTTTTAACCCAGGCAGATTATATTTCCTCGTATGAAGTTATTATTCAAAATGTATTCACTGCCTTACTTATTCATTACACACACAATATATTCAAATACTGATTAATCATATAGTAATACAATATTCAAATACTAATAATTAAATCCTTAAAAAATGTTCTATTAAAAGGAAGAACATTTTAAAATGCCCAATTGAGCAGTATTTTTTTTTAATCTCAAAATACGTCCCTGTTGTATTATTTTTCAAATTCGTTACTAATATATAAGTAAGTAACTCGATAATATGTAAGTAAACTCGAGTATTATTTAGAATCGGGGATTAGTGATATGGGTGTTTTGAATGTTCAAGTTTTTATGGAAAAGTACTACTGAATGGTAAAAAAAGGTTTATTAAAATTCAAATATAGTAATTCAATGATATAATAGACAAATATAATTAATATGTACAACAAACAATTATTGTATGAAATGCATAACAGAGCAAAAAAAAATGAAAACATATACATGAATTTACAATAACATAAGCTGCAAAATAAACAGAATACAGGAATATTCACATAAATTTACAATAATATGAAACAACTAAGTGCTATGAGTAATAACATTACATAGATTTTTCCTTATAGTTAAATCTTCATTTTCATTGTTCTTTTAATATCCTGTGTTGGTGGTTGGCCTGCACCCATTCTTTGAGTGATAATCTCTGTGGCACTTCATAAAAGCCTATATTGTTGAAACAAGCATTATCAAATGCTAACTTGTAATGACATTAATACATGTAGCATAACAAATACACAATGAAAATTAAGAATGTACTAATATTTCTTGTTTCAGTAGTATTAATTCTTGAAATATCATAAAAGAGGAATTAGACATTTTTTATTAAACATTCAATTATACATCTACCAGTTTCAGTGTTATAGTGTGGCACCAGGATAACTATGCGAGACACACTAATCCCCTCAAAGAATTTTGATATACAAAATAATTTTGGCAGTAACTTGTAAAGGCTAAAAAAATATTATCAAAAAGATACAATTCTTAAGTAATTACATATATTTTGCAGAAATACTTCGGAACTGTTTGAGCTGGTATTCGTGAGAATCCTCGAGTAATTTTTTGAATGCAGAATAATTGAACTGAGAAACAATAGAATGCAACCAAATTATATCCCTAAGTATTCTTTCATTTCACTTTCTAATGCATGCATAATAGCATTAATTAAGAATTTAATAAAAACATTAAAAATAATTACATGAAGCAAGATCTCTAAAATTTCAAAATTGCATATAATTAAAATCTAGTTTAATATCTGCAATACATTTTTAAGTCATTATATTTTCATAAATTTAACTTTACAATCTAAGACGAATTACAATAAAACATACTTTATGACAAAAGAACATGAACTTTCAGACTAAATATAATGTGCATCTAATTAGTCTGAGATTAAAAACTATACTAGGAAACATTCTGGAAAACCATATTTAACACATTGGTTGCCGCGTGCATTTTACGTGGTTTGCCCATGGTGCCAATATGATTTTTTTTATTATGCGATGTATATTATGTTGAAATATTATCTACGGAAGATAAAACGAGTTATATAAACGTGTTTAATGTATTTTTTGTGGTGGGGGTCACCGGTGACCCTTGAGGAGCTGTAGATAATTTTTGCGATTTATTATTTAAGTTTTTGTGATTTATTATTCTTCAAACCATTATAGTTACAATGGTTTTATTTAAAAATTTATCAGTATCAATATTTACTCCAATTATGTATTTTTACTATTAGGTCGCATCGTCGGTCATCGGTGGCCCCCACAGCACTGTAGCCAAGTCGAGTGCCGGCCACCGGTGACCCTCATGGCAGTCAACGTGTTAATACGTTTTAAACTATTTTACTTTCATAGATAAAGTTTCATCCATCTCATCAAAATTATTAAATATTCATCAATCTTTTGATCGTCAGTTTCTATTACCTGCTAGTGAGGCAGAATGTATTCACCATGACACAAAGAATGTGTATTACATACATGTAAAATATAAAAAATACGATGACTCTGCTCTATGCAAGCATGCAACCTATAATTAACTTTCCGCAATTTCAGGATCTTCCCCCTAGACCAGTACTTTCGAGAACATTCTGGCATGTTATATAACCGCTAGTATAAATACTGAGTACGTGCCATTTTTGTCAGACTGCTTTCTTCTACCGCTGCTCATCCCATCTTGTTCTTTCTTTTGTTAAAACAGTTATGACTTAAAGTCTAAGTTTAATCTTACTTAGTTTAAATCAATATTGAATATGTAATTCTGAGAATTTCATCTAAAGGCAAAATGATCTGCTGTAATTAAAGATGTGGGATCTAAAACGGCTAAATCCTTCTTTGTCGTCATTTTGCAGCCTTATACTCAGCCATAACAATGCCTGGACTATGATGCAGTTATATCGTCAAGCTTTGTCTTTCCTGTGCCTGCCTGCCAAAATATTACATACATACGTATGTAATATAAGCTACATAATGTAATATAATTAATATAATATACTACAATTGTTTTGTCACAGTATTTAGAATAAAAGTCTGAAATATTGCCATGTCTTACAAAATAGCAACTAAATCTGTACACAAGATACAAAATATCAACTAAATCTATACACAAGAATTTTCCATTAAAAATTTCTGTGCAGACCTGATATCATTATATATACTGTTCTTTGTATAATGTACTGAACAGTAAAGCTCCCTGTATACAAAAATTTCAAGACGCGTGACGTGATATTTATTCTGCTTGCAGAAGCACACTGTTTATTTTCAATGTATATAATAATAAGCAAAGGATGATATGTATCAGATTTTCAGTTCTATAATTTTTATATCTAATATACAGTGCACTATTATACTATTAAGCAATCTTTATTTTCAAATCCTTGCATTATATATTGGTGATTATGGGTGGTTTTTTTTATTCATCTGTTTTCTTATCTGTCATGGCGACTACACTAAGACTGCTTAATCAAGGCTCAAATGTATCCCTGCCTCCTGTAATTTTAAAGACATATTTGAAGGAAAGATAGGTTAAATTACATAATAATTATACGTACTTTGCTTGTGTGTTTACAGTCCGACATAACACTCAACAACTAGTATGCTTGAAAATGCCCAAGTGGGAATGAATGGATTCAATAACATATACTGGAAAAGTAAATAAAAGTATTATAAAAGTATTGCCTCCATTTTAAATAATAGTTGTGTAATAAAAGTACATTTTAGATATGAAATTAACTAATTTTTTTTAAAATTTTATCTCTTTTACCTTTAAAATGGAGGTAATGTTTCTGGTTGATATTGTGCAAATACCTGAAAAGCAAACAACAATTACACTAAATCTAAAAATGTTTCCAAATTTTATACATCTGCAAGAAACTAATAAGGTCAACATTCCCTGATTAACTGAATTTGTTGGCAGATGATGATTCAAATCTGAATATAAGAGACATGTAAATAGTATAAAAGCACACCAAATTTATATCAGTTTGCAAGTCATCGTATTTGTGAATGAGTGCCTACTATAAATTAAGTATAAATCTTACTCTGAACTACTTAGTATGCGTATGCACTAATTTTTGCATTTTCTTAATTCATATATTTAATGAACATTATTACAAAATTAAATAATGTCTGTAATAATTGTAATTGAAACAATCGTATTTGAAAGTTCACCTTTTTCATTAACTTCATTAGCAAAGCATACAATTAAGTGCTTCACAGTATTATTAACTGTAACTCAGATATTTACTTACATCCTAACATTCCACTTCCAGAAACAACGGTCAAAATTTTTCAGCTGCCATTCACTGTGCCAATGCCTGAAATTAAAATCATTTTATAAAAATCTTTAAAATGATGATTCAAGTATTGAAAAATCTTAGATCATAACATGGTCATACATACAAAATATTTTATTATTTTTATACCAATAAAATGATATGTTTTTCTTGTCTGAATGAATTATTTAACACGAGAATGTCAATGGTTGTGAAATCACATCATAATAATAAGAAAATTTATAAAAAATGAAATAAGAGGTTATTGTATTTAAATTTCACTATTTAATTAAGAATGATTATCTACTAACTGTAATTCATATATTCATCTCTGGTACACACTTTCTACAAATAATCTTTGGCTACTATAGTCTGTATAATCAGCTTGACAGATACAAGCAAAAGATGATTGACAGTCATAATTATTATCTTGTCTTCCTGCTACATGTGCAGTACATATACATGTTTTCCTATAACTTTCATAATGGCATATATACTTTTCACTGCAGAAACATACAATTTTATGAAGAACTAATTTGCAATAATATATAGCACACATGAAAACAATCTAAGCATACTTTATAATATTAAAGTGCAATGTTATGTAATCATTGACGAAAAATTACATACATCAAAATATACTTTATTGTTGACTTTAATATTACTTTAGGATTATTAAAAATCATCATCAATTCCTACATGCTGTACAATCATCTGCCTTTGAAAAATAGAACTTGTTACATTTAATATTTCATCAGATTTTTCTATTCAATAGATAATTAATAATATAAGGAGTTAAGTAAATTTAAACCAATTATATTTTATTTTTACCAATTCCTTACAGTTATACCACAATTCATTACATTACGAGTTCATTACATTACTTTATATCATATTAACTTCAATCAAAACATTTCAACATATTTTGAGATAAAAGACCCAAGTACCTTGTATTAGTTTTAGCTGTGATAAAATTACGCAGTAAATACTAATAGTTTTTTTCTTGAAGTATCTTGAAAATGATGTTTCTTTTCGAAAAAATTACAACAGTAAGGAAACAAATCATTCCTTAAAACGTTTTTCTTAATGTTACATAAGGCCCACCAGCGGCCGAGCGGTTAAGTCGCTGAACACTGGTAGTTCGGTCCGAGGTTCGAATCCCGCGAACGGGCTGCATGGGCGTTTTCGTGGTTTTCCCCATGTGTAACGTGTATACGAGCCAGTTTCCCTTAGAAAGTCCTCCACGAAAGGCATCCCTCCCCTTAGGCAGATAGCCCTAGTGTGCTTTGCCATAATTAAATACACCACCACTTAATGTTACATAATAAAGAAATTTCGGAAATGTTAAAAAAAGTTAATGAACTCCATGTGTGTTAAGAAAGATGACAGTGTGACATAGTAGATAAACATACTTGCATTTCTATCAAATTTACTGAAATGGGAAAATATATACATACCTGAAAGCAATCTTGCAAATAGCATTTGGTTTGGAACTCTTGCACTATCCGCTGGGGTATTTGTATTTACGCTGAATTCCTTTACCCCATTTTTTGCACTCTTCAATCGAATTTATACTTGATCGTATCATTCAGCTTTCCAGTTGTTGGAGCAGTACAGCAAAAAATTGTATTTTAATACAGTAATTACTATACATTTACATTATACTCCACGAAGATTTAAACGCCAGATTTGTTTACAATCAGATGGCGGTACATCTACCATATACCGTATTTATCCTCTTTTCAAATCGTGCCAACATAGTAATTTGCCAAATTTTTTTCTGGGCATGCGCAGTATGCGACATTCGTTTAACACTGTTCAACTCAATGTGCGGTCTGCCATTACGCGTGGGGGGACGAGTCCGAGAGTCTCCCACTCGTCTTCCCTTCCTCCAAACCACACGAGAGGACTTTCGGCTCGCCGCATATTTAGAGTCGCGCCATGCCGCAGCTACACTATACATTTACAAACATCCATGCCTTCTCTGGGATCCGAACCCGGGCTCTTCCGCAACGCTAAACACTATACCGGTTAAGATAATGGAACGTATTCTTTAGAAAGAAACACGGGCTACATTCTGATATCTACAGTGCACTGTATACTTTAAAAAAGAATCGAAGGAAGATCTTCGTTAAAGTGCAGTGAATAACAGTCACAACAGAAATAACGTTTTCGTGTGCCCAGGTATTAGCCTATTGGTTCGTAAAAGTCTTATATGAAGTTATGAAAGGGCAAATTATGGAAGCAAGTTATGTGAAGTTTTGAAGATAAAGCGTATCAGAGTTATAAAGTGTTGCACAGCTACTGGATCTTAAAACGTTATAAGGATAATTTTAATTTTATAACCTGTTATTTTATGTCGATTCTCTTTCTTATCAAGCCTCGTTTAATTTGCCTGCCAAAATGCAACTTTTTAGCACGCGCGATAACCAAATTAGATAAAAAGAAGGAAGTATTTAAAGAAGGTTTTGGTTGCTGAAATCATAGAATGTTATGCCTGCCTGAAGGTCACGTTGCTAACTTTGATTCTCTATAGATTAGAATTCTGCGGCGTTGGGTTATACTTGCCCTTAGGCTTCTTTACGCCGACTTCGGTCAGAACCAACTTGCGTGCTAGACTGTGAAGTTATCCATTATCTTTGATTTAAACCCATACGTGTTGACTTCGGTATGCCATCTGTTAAAATTTATTCGGATTAATAAAAGGGCCCTTTACACGCTCTCCCAATCTCTGCTATACTTACAAGACATAACTATAATTCGTCACTTGTCTTCCAGAGTTTTGGTCAAACGTATGCTCCCTAAGGAGATAAAATTATATAAAATTTTTAAATGTTTCTACTTCCAAGCAGTAAAATTCCGATAATCCGATAATAATGTATGATATGTTGGATAATTCGGCATGCCCAAGTTCGATCTTCCTGCCTTCCGAAGGCACTACAAGGGTGTCATTTAGCAATGTTATTCGGAAACATTTAGGAGATGTTCTGCTCCACAGCCATTTCTGCTAGTCATTTTTTACTTATGGTGCAAAAAGTTTTAAAAATAATTTTGAAAAATATGGGCTTCCTGAAGACCTTTTACTAAACTAAGGAAAGAAATTAAGAGCTTTTCCGTTTTGGACAACTAAGGGATATTTCTCTGGCTTTTTATTTTGTATCAAGTTATTTTTTACAAAATATCCTCCTCAAATATGAAACTCTATATCTATTAAATGTATGAAGGCGTTACTTAATCTCTAAGAGCGAATACAGATGAACTTTGAGCAGAATTTATTAAATTATACTTGCAAACTTAAGAAATTCCAAGTTGAGTACTCAGTACCTAGTCAAGGGATGCAGTAACGGACAGGGAAAACGTAGCACCATGAAGATTTTGCCGTAATATGCATTTAAATGTATGTATATGCATTATAAAGAATATGTAGTTCTAAGATATACTATTCTGATGACCTAAAAACTCAAGCTGCTTCCGTGATTGTGAGTGAGGTTGTAGAGACATTAGGTATTTTTTTGGAAGCCGGAGAGATGAAACATTAGCAACTTGCCTTCGCCGGGAATCGAACCGCGGACCTCTGGAACACCGCTCAGCATGCAGAACCACTACACTACGAAGGCACGCTAGGAAGGCGGGAGAAATACCTTATAAGGTTAAAAAAGAGAAAAAGATCAGTACACATTAACAATCTTCTGCTGCGCAAGGAAACCATTATTTTTTTAACTCTTTTTCTTTCAAAATGACCGCTAAGTTGAAAGCCATTTGGAGAATGCCGTTGAAGAAGTTTTCGTCAAATTGCAAACTTAACAAGCGGTTTCATTTTTGTCGTACGACCTGGTAGTTGAGCATAATATAGTGTTACACTACTGGGTGCAGGGTTTAGAGATAATGTACCAAAGATGGGCATATATATCTTTATATGGACACAGATGCGTCTAGATAACAATCGAAAGGCTTGGATCGAAGCACCAGGAAGGTACGCAGCAAAGGCCTTGCAATCCACTGCTCTCGACATTTGATTGCTCTCGACAGATTCTACTAAGATGGATCCTTCAATTTCAACGGAAACAATCCCTGGATATTGGTCGAAAATGGCTTGCAATCAAAATTTTTTTTTTTTTTTTTTTTTTTTTTTTTTGTGAACTTTACCTCCGATGGCAGCATGCTGAAGTGAAAGATGATAATGGTGTCAAGACCAAGCTTCGTCTTATAATGAATAATACAGGAGAGTGTGTAATGCTGAAGCTCGTTTCTGCTTTACTAATGATAATCATCGAATCAGAGTTTGAAGCGATGCGAAGACTGATCAAATACTGCTGCGATTAGCGAATGTCATAGTCTTTGTCAGCGGCATCATTATTTCGAGTGGCTATCAGCATCAATAGCCTGTGATATATAACTCGTACTTTAAGTATAATTAAGGCGAACAAATACATAAATGAGGTGCTTCAGCTTATTGCACTACCACCTTCAAAGGTTGTAAAATGTTGTTTTTCAGCAAAACAACATGCGACCACATACGGCGAACATCAGAATGTAGGCTTTCACTTGTTTCTTTGCCCATCGTTGTAGTGAGATAGATACCTTCCCAATAAGGCATCTGTGGGGCGTAACTGGTTTTGTTGACTTCAATGCTTCAGCCTAAGATGGAGAACTAACTATGGATACTGATGGAAACAATATGGCATGAGTCCAAACAATGATTAAATTTGAATGATGACTGGTTGAACATGTTTAGCCAGACTCATTAATATTTTATGCTCAGATGAGACAAAGCATATAATATTAGATCAGGCTCACAATACACACCGTTAAAAGAGGATTTTTGTATACGTTTTTTATATAATTCTACAAGACATCTATTTCTCTCATAATCTGTTGAATTTCTCTAGATTGAAGCTTAAAAATATAAAATAAATGCAATTATTTCTTATTGTTATGTATTGAATAATAAATTTGAGATAATAAATAATCTTCTCTGTCTATTTTATTATAAGTAAAAGTCTTCTCTAACGATTTTACTGTAAGTAAAATCTCTTTTAC